AAGTTTGAATGTTAAGGTAAGAAGATTATCTGGTGCAAAAGAAAAAAAAAAGTAAGAAGATTATTAAAACTTTAAAAAGCTCCAAATGTTTTAAAAGAAAATATATTTTCAATAAAATGGAGAAGGCCTTAGAAAATAAAAAAAGAGTTATTAAAGAGAAATTGCAAAAAAAGTTTGCCGCTATCGGATCAGATTTTTCTGATGTTCGAAAACGAAACTCGAGACACTAATACTAGTGAATACAATACTTACAGCTTTGCGGCGAAGATACTAGATCAAAACCATAAGCATATATGATGGAGCGGAAGCTTCTAGGGATAGGAGTAGAGATCCGTTGATTCTCAGAATACCCGGAAATCTAGGGTTTGAGAGTCCTCCTCTCAGGGCTTTCGCAAAAGCTCTTGGATTTGTGAATACTCTTCACAGTGGTTTATTAAAACCTCTTTAAATCTTTCGATTAATCAATATATCAAAATAACTGCATACAATAGGAGGCTTAAGAAGCCTATTTATAATAAAGCATAAAACCCTAAAACTAAGAATATTCTAGAATAATTATAATAAATAAATTAAGAGATAATAATAAGAGATATTTGGAATATCTCGCTGCATCAGGTCTCGCCGGCCAAGAAAAGATTCGTCCTCGAATCTTGTATCTGCGCTGCATCAGCTCCCGCCGGCCAAGAAAGATTCGCCCTCGAATCTTCAGCAGATTTTTTAGCAAAAGTGATCTTTGTAGATCCATCTTTATCTCTGTCGGTTGATTTAGCTCGATTTTTGCACAATCCCGGTTTGATCCGAAATTTGCACGAACTGTAACTGACCCAAAATTTGCACGAACCGGATCTGACCCGAAAATTGCACGAACCGGATCTGACCAAAATTTCGCACAAATCACCTCCTCGACAGATGTACAGGTCGGAACTTGCATGAAACTTACCCAAATCGGTGGTTTCATGATTTCTGCAGAAAACCCGAATTTTGCACGGATATGATTTCGCCCGAACTTTGCACAAATAAGATCTTCTTCATAAACATCATAGATCGGATCACCAACAATTTCTCTGTAGATCTGGTGGTTCTCCTCTCTCTCGATAAAAGGACTTTCGTCCATGATAGGGTAGATGCAATCACTTGCCATGTGATAACCAGAATCGTTCATTGATTTAGAAATCAAAGAGACGCAGCTCTGATACCAAATGATGGAGCGGAAGCTTCTAGGGATAGGAGTAGAGATCCGTTGATTCTCAGAATACCCGGAAATCTAGGGTTTGAGAGTCCTCCTCTCAGGGCTTTCGCAAAAGCTCTTGGATTTGTGAATACTCTTCACAGTGGTTTATTAAAACCTCTTTAAATCTTTCGATTAATCAATATATCAAAATAACTGCATACAATAGGAGGCTTAAGAAGCATATTTATAATAAAGCATAAAACCCTAAAACTAAGAATATTCTAGAATAATTATAATAAATAAATTAAGAGATAATAATAAGAGATATTTGGAATATCTCGCTGCATCAGGTCTCGCCGGCCAAGAAAAGATTCGTCCTCGAATCTTGTATCTGCGCTGCATCAATATGGCAACTCGACTCTCTACTTAGATCTCGTGCTTAGCAACCTAATAAATCGTAGATCTAAGCATATCATTATTGAGAAGCTCTTAACCTTCCAATAATGATGGTCTAACATCCTTCCTCCAATATCGATGATCTACGAGATTTATGAACAAGACTCCCTTCAAATTTGGTTTGGTGAATGTAGTCACGACGATTTACAAAAGAGTAGTGGTTCAATCAAACCTCCATGTATCTCATGTCATCCATAGAATTGTATCTCTCTTTTCTAAATTTGCGAGAATGTTACTTAACTTCCTTTGTCTCGTACTATATATAACTCATATTAAGGACTGATGGATCCTTGATTGGCTTTACATGGGAATTGTAAGCTTTTAGGTGAAGGTCTGCTCATTAGTTCTTTGTTTTAGATGTTTGAATTATTTATTTCATTGATTATATGAATTTTTGTGATCTTCCCTTACATATGTATATGTGTTACTTCATGGGATGTGAATGTCAGGACAAATACAAGGAAAAGAAAGAGAAAAAGAGTAATGATAGAAGCAAAGACAAACAGAAGGAAAGAAAGGAGAATCCAATAAGCAATGACACGATTGAGTCATCGGTTCAAGAACATGAAAAAGACCTATTAAAGTCTTACCAGAAACAATTCTCTCTCCCTTTTAAGCTCATGAAGAAGCTTAAGATTCATTATGGAAGCAGCTTCTTCAGTTTGGTCCGATAATGGTAGATAAGTAGTGATAATAGTTATGTATCTAAAATTAATATTATTTTGGAGAACTATAGACTATATTTAATTTATTTGATCAATCATTAATCATTGGGACCCTTAATCATAAGATAATATTATTTTGGAGAACTTTTGAGTTTAAAGTTTTGACTAAATTGATCGGTTTCATTGATGTGAGATCAAAATTTTCTGAGAATCTCAGGTGATTGATTGTCAACGATGGTGAGATATTACAGATGGACGAAAATAATAGAAATCGGGGTATAGTCGGTTTAATTCCGGCTGATTATTAAATTGGTCAATTTATTAATTAAATCAAATAATTTTTATTTAGTCAAATCAAATCAAGAACCCTATTTGTATCAAAGTGACACCTCCTTGGTACATGAACCTAGTTAATCGTCGTGACCTACTTAAGAAAAAAGAGAGAAGGAGAGCTCATTCACTAGGGAGAAGGAGAACAAGCTTGGTTTTGTGTATATAGCAAAAGAGGCAAAACTGTTGAGATTTGGAAGGAAAGGGTTCCCACGTATCAAAACATACCTAAAGGTAATGAAATTTGTACCTAAGTCTTGTACCTCAATTCTCCCATTTACAAAAGTTGATTTAGGTTAAAACTATGTGAGTTATCTGCAGTTTCATGAGACACTTACGCAAACGGGTACTAGTGGAGGTTAAAAGTGTGATCGTGGTAGCATATGTTATCTGATCGGCACCAAATTTTGTGGGAAGCTACGCGACATCGAGGGAGTGCCTTACACCAGAGATTTGAACGTTAGCGGTTGGTTTCAGGTTTAGGGTTTTGTCTGTGAGACTGTATTTTTCTACTGTTTATGCCCAGTTTGCTTCAAGGTTGTTTTTGTTTGTGTGGGTTGTTTTAGGGTGTTGCTGAACTGTTGTAATCGCGAGGAGATTCTCTCCTAATTTTGTTTGTTGTTCGAATAATTTTTGTAAGGTGAGTGTGTAACCATGAGTTTATCTAAGCGATTTATATTAAGTGACTTATTTTGTGATGATGTGTAAGTTGTGGAGCTTCGTACAATCTTAAATACTTAAAAATTAATAAACAAATACAACTGAAAAAAACATTAGTTACAAAAAATTATCCAACGAGCTTATAAGTAATAAAATTCACAATCAAAATAATGTTACACAATTTTAAACACTAAGCAAATTTTAAAATATATATATATACATAATTCTCAGCGTATCAAGGAGAGTTTCGTTCCTCCTTTGTGGTATGGTGTGGATTATAAAGGATCCATTTTTCAGACCCACATTTGTGTCCTCTACTCTTGTAGCGGCAGCACATGCTTTGGAGGCAACGACCATCGCGGCCTTAGTTTTGGGTGTTTCAAGGCGGGCTTATTCTTCGAATTGTCAAGATCTCAAGATTTTTCACAGTTTCGGTGGCCTCGCAGACGAGTTCGAAGATGTCGTAGCGGATACTTTTGAGCTTTGGTCTAAATTTCTTTTTGCTTTCCCTTTTTTTTTGTATATCCACCCAAGAATCTTTCTTGGTTCATCTCCTCCAGAAATGGAGTTGAGTCATTTTAGAATTAATGTTAGTTTACAAAAAAAAAAAAAGTATTTACGATTGTACAATGATATTGTGATTGTTAATTATATAATTTAACCTGCGGAATACAACATGACAATTTGTTTTGTTATATATAACCGTAATTTAATCAACTTAACTAAGTATGTATAATATTTCAAATAATGATATGATGATGGCGTAACATCTTTCAATTAACTCATTTTATTTTAGACTAAAATATTTTGTGTGTAAACAGCCCGTAAGAAAAAATATAATCATATTTATATAAATTCAAACTCGTTCAATCAAATTTATGTAAACTGAAACTCATTCAATCAAATATAATCATAGTTATAAGCATATTAGTCTTATTTATAATGTTTTTGAACTATTATCTAAAATTTTCTACCCGATGTGTGACGTTGTACATTTTTTTCTTTATGATTCAGTAATATATGTCCGTTTTCAAAAATTCAAATTACAACATATGTGGAAAAAATATATATATTTATTATACATATGTTATATGTAATAATATAAATTTTAAAACAAATAAGATCATATAACGATATTTCAGAGATATTCAATTTATTAGGGAGATATTTTAGGAAAATCGAAGTAGTTGTAGATCTTTTACAAATTTAAACCTTATAGTTAGTAAACTTATAGAAATGGCAAGGGTTTATGATAGCAAATAATACAAATTAAAATGTTACTTTACAAAAGGTATTTCAAAATTGTTAATATAGATATTTCGAGTACTCCGAACTTACCTGAATCGAAAAGATCTCAAACAAAACTTGATTCGAATTGTTAAAATACATGAATGGGACCTCAACCAGTAGTCCCAAAATACATGATCTTATAAAACCCGTGTTCGTTATCATTCCTAAATCTATGAAAAATGGGCCTTAATCAAATCAAATCCAGTTCTGATTAAACATGATATCATGTGCGTTTACAATTTGTCTAATGGCCCATCTATATTGGTTACAAAGCTACCATAGATCATGTGTTAAAGAAACAAAAAGAGTTTGAGATTAATCTTTGTGCTTTTGTGTGCTTGAGATTGTAAACTCCTTGTAGTTCTTGTTCTTGAGTAGAATGAGAACAAGAACAAGAACTATATACTAAAAAAACAAAGATTTGAGTAGATTGAGAAACTTATTAGTAATTAAATCTTAAAATTGAGTAATTTGACCAAAACATAAATTGAACCAAATTGATACATTTCTTTTTTATTCCAACCCACTAGAAAATAACGAACCAAAACGTTCCACGTCATCTTTCTTCAAACAAACACCAATCTCAACACCACCACTTCCATCTCCACTCTCCGACAACGAAACCGAAGCATCTTTATCAATAGTCACTATCTCTACTTTAACCGGTTTTCCCCACCCAAAATCCGACCCATATATCCCTAACCGGGTTGACCCGGCAACCGAAATCATCTGTCTACCCGGTTCCATCCTCTTAAACGCCTCAAACGGTAAAAGCATATTCTTCTCTATATTCTCCGGACACAACCCGTTGACCCATACGGTCAAACTCTCCACGGCCGAGATTAACCCTTCTTCCAAGATTGGTTCTGCCTTCACGTCAAAATCTCCTGACCCGACAATGCAGTTTCCAAAGAACGTCGACGGTAACGGAGGGTTTAACCGTGACCGGAAGTCTGATGCAAAACCAATACACAAGAACCGGGTCGGGTCACCTCCATGCATCTTTACCATGCATGTTATAACGTAACCGTAAGTGATGACAAAAGTAGATAAACGTAGGTCTTGAGACAATGACTTGGTCTTGACTACATCACGTAGCTTTTTTATGTTTTCTTGAGTTAACCTGTACGTGACTCGGATAATGTCTTGTCCGATGGCTTTAGATGGAAACAGTTTTAAGCTTGGTTTGTTGTTAGAAGCTGAGATCCACCGGCTTAAGAGTTTTGTCTCCATTCCTGTTGGGTCTTGGACAATGGTTCGATCAAAAGAAGGGACTAGATCACCAGGAAGAGGTTCTTGTTCTTGTTTACAGTTGTGAGCCCATGCTTTGAGAAACATGGCTGTTGTTTTCCCGTCTAGAACAGCATGATGTGCGGTTACGCCAAGACAAAAGCCTTGGTTGGGGAAGAACGTTACCTGAACGGCGAGAACGCGAGCTGATTCGTCGGAAATCCCTAACTCAGGGACTAAAGGATGAAACTCTATGGCCGGACGAGGTTCATCTCCGGCGAGACGTGACAGATCACCGTTAGATTCAGCTACCGTGATGTGCACGGCATCTTTTTCATCAGGAGAGTAGACAATGGACGGTTTGGTGTCGATCGAGTCCCACACGAGGCGGCCGGCGAGTGGGAGATAGTGGAGGAGGGTTGCAGATAGAGAGGACTTGAGTTTAGGGATGAGAGAAGAGCGAGTCAGGTCAGGGACGTGGTAGAAGATAACACGGTCCACAGGGTGGAGTTTAAGCCAACCTAAGTCGAAGTAAGTGAGTGGGAGTGTGAGAGAGTTAGAAGGTGGTGGACTAACTTGGACCACTTCGAGTATGTTAACGGCTGAGTTTGAATTCACCATGAGTTGGTAATGAAGTTCAAAGTTTTTATTGGTTTGCTTTGAGTTTTAAGTATTAGTATTTAACTATGTATAGGCTTCTTTGGAGGTTATGGTCTTTACTTACTTCTCTCTTCCAAGAACGTCAACCACCTGATAGGTTTACCCAACCGGTGGGTGGATATATATATGATATTTTGGCTTTGAGTTTGAGTATCTAACAATGTATATTTTATTTTTCAAATAGGTACTAATTATAGAGAATCTTCGCTAGACTATCTTAGACTATCTCCAATGGTTTTTGCTATTTTTGTCTCTATAATAGTGGAATTCTATAATAGAGGTAACTTTTGCTCCAATGGTTTCCTCTATTTTCCCCTCTATAATAGAATATTCCAAATAAATTCTTTTAAAATTTTAATATTAACATAATCTATTTATAAAAGTTGCAAATTAACCCATTTACTTTAACTTTTATAAAATTTTAATAAAATAATTACTTTTATTTAAATTAAACATTTATCATAAAATCATCAAATTATGTAATATTTTTTTATTAAAAGTACATTACGTTACATAATAAAAAAATAAGATACTAGATTCTTAACCATCAGCATAAGTGTATTTTCCCCACAAATGATCAACTAATGCATTTCCAAGTGAGAAATGAGCTTCTTTATCTCTTATTTTCTGAAGTAATTTAGGAGAGTATTAAGTAATTTTTTTTGTATAAAAAGTATTATTATGGAATAAATGAAAAAAATAAAATCTTTTTTTCTTTCAATAAAAATAAAATATATTATTTATGTATATATTAACTTTTGCAAATGGTAGTCTCAAATTTTAGAATATATATTTATATTAAAACCTTTAAAATATTTCATATTATTATTTGTGATTAAATATATTTATTTTATTTATTTTGTACATAAATAAAAGAAGTTTGAGATTAAAAAGACTACTTTGCAAATAAAATAGTTCACCTCTATTTATAGAGGAAAAAATAGAGTTCCTCTATATATAGAGATAAAAATAGCAATCTCTATAATAGAGGTGGATATAGAGGTGGGTTGGAACAAAATTTGCTATAAAATAGAGTTTAGAGGCAAAAATAGAGGTGAGTTGGAGATGCTCTTAGGCTCCGAAAGGTGAAAACGGATTTGGTAGTGCGGAACAAGCGGTTTGATAGTGTAGTACGGTTCAACTGCGGTATGTGCGTGATAAATGTAATTACAGGACAAGTGCGGTTTGTGTAAAAAAAAACGGTGCAAAATAATGTTTGATTGGTGGAAAATTAGGATAATTATTTTATTAATAATTAGGATAATTATATAAATAAATTAATAAATAAATATATTTATACATTTACAAACCTTAAAAACCCAAAATGACTTTAATTTTTTTTTTACTTACATACCAATTGTTAAATCAATTAAAGTGTTTGACCATTAAAATATAAAACATATTAAAAAAAATTATCGATTATTTTGATATTCCCATAACATATTCGCAAAATTGTCTCTTATTTACGTCATATGTTCGCCATCTGCTATTTATGTTGCATCCATGTCACATATATCATGCTCAAAAATTATGTTGTTTATATTTTTCTCAGTCATTAGTTCTGCGAAATCAGCATCTGAAAATTTTGAAATTATGATGAAATTATGTAATCCCACTGTCGCCATTACCACTGTTTTTTTTAATGTGGACATTATATCTTGGAAAATCAGAAAGAATTCTCCATTTTTTCTTCCAAACTCCAAAAGTTCTCTCGATAACAGAAGGTAATGATGCATGACATTGGTTGAATAATTCATGTTTATTTCTAGGAGGAGAGCCAGACTAAAAATTGAGACATATGATATCTCACAACTCGATTTCTTGATGATCTATAAGGAGCGTGAAATCCTTGTTTGTTTGTATAGCCAGAATCAACGAGATAATACTTCTCTAACGGAGGCAAAGGAAACTCATAATCACTTTGTTGTGCCATTTGTAGAACAGCTGTATCGTGGCATGATCCTGGTGCTCCATTCCAAATATATGTGAATAACATATTCAAATCACATATTGCCATCATGTTCGATGATGGATTATCGTGGTGATTCCAATACATTCCCTGTAACTCAGGCTTTACTTTGTCACATACATGAGTCCCATCCATAACTCTAACAAATCCACTAAAATATGGCCAATATCTTCAATTTGTCTGAAGCTATCAGGAATTCGATAAAGTTCTTGTCTTGTTGGCGTTCTAATATAATCACATGCTAACAATTCAGTTACCGTAAGAACTTCCTTAATTTTTCTTTGCATAGTCTCTTGATTTCTGCCAGATCTTAAACCAACATCTTTTTGAACTTCATAGTGTCCACATATCCGTAAAAACATAGCCACACTTTCTTCAATACTTATATTTAATATTGGCTGTAGACTATAATTTGTGTGCAACATATTACACAATGTTGTGAAACATGGAAGTGACATCCGTAATAACTGAAGACAAGCATCATCATCTTCCTGTAACCGACGCCATATATATCTCCATCCCAAACCTCCATCGGTTTGGACTGGAGCTCTTCGGAAATATCGAAAATAATAAGTTAAAGCTGGTTGAATTACTAACTCTTCAAACTGTTCATTTTCCAAATTCCACAATTCAATCCTCTCCTCGTAATTGAGATGGTTGGGATATTGTGATCGCAATTGACATATACGAAATGCCTGAAATTCAATATAAAAAACATTATTAAACATATATTATTTTCAAATAACAAACTAAATCATTCTTTTTAAATTACAAAACTACTTTAACAATAAAAACATAAACAAGAATGAGAAAACACAAGCACCACAAATTAATCTTCATCTCCTACATCAGTTTGATGACTTGCATTTTGTCCTTGCGTTCCCCAAATATTGAAAAGACCTCCAGGTCTAGGTGTTTGTGGCTTTTGTCCACTTTCAAAATAATTAGTGAAACCGAGACCGGGTGATGATGTTTGTTGAATAATCAGTGAATTTTCTTGTTGATTATTTCTTATATTTTCACTTCGGTAACCAAGTGAAAAACCGTATTGAACATTTGTTGGAGTTGTTCCTGATGAACCGCCTTGTTGAGTTTGTTGCCATGGTTGTATGTTTGATGGTGTGTCCCACTGTGGTGCATTTGGTGGTGCTCCCCATTGATGAGCATTTGGTGGTGTTCCCCATTTTAATGCATTTGGTGGGGTTCCCCACTGTTGATAAACAGGGCCCAACAACCAGGTGAATTTTGCCCTCCTAAGTTATTACCCACGGATGAAGGAATATTAGATGACAGACCCCCTAAATGTGGACTCCCAAAAGAATGGCATGAATCCAACTGTTTGGGCACATCTTGGTTGTTCCGCGAAACACCAGTCATAGCTTCTAACAATTGTACCTTATCTTTGTCATTTCTTCCTACTATGTCAATGAAATACTTACGCCAAAAGACAAACTCCTTAAGTGCGTTAACCCATGCCCAATAAAATCTCGTGTTCTTAGGAAGATCTACCGCAGTGAATATCGCTTCCGCTTTCTTAAATTCATCGTAATCGTCTTGGTCAAAACCACCAGGACGAAGTTGTTGAAGACTTTGTCATTGGAACTCTCTATAACCAGCAATGGTGTCTTGTATTGTTGTTTCAAAGGATTGTCACCTACAGTTTCCTCGTGTACTGCTTCCAATAGAAACTCGTGAGCTTCCCTCAGATCTTTGTAAATTACTCCCACGTCTAGTGCTTCTTCCTCTTGCATCACGGAAATTTGTGGTGGAACGTCACCACTTTCACTATCTGAATCATCATCACCCTCTTCATCATTTTCATGTTCGTTCATTAATTGTTCTCTTCTTTGTCGAGCAGAGTGTTGAGATTGTGATTGAACATCATATAATACGAGACATCTCTTCATCACATCCGAAAACTCAGGTGGCTTTTGATTCAAGCCTTTTGCTATTTGCATCCCTATAAATTTAAAATTAATGAGATCGTGATATCAAAATTAAAACATATCTTTATGAGTACAAAGATTATGTTTACTTACAAACTCTTGATCCTTCCATCATGACTCATATGCATATATCATGGATGTATCAGGATCAACCGTGATTCCAGTTTTATGCATAAGAACCTTCCATCTCTTGCAGTTTTTTTGAATTCATTGAGTTTGTTTTTGAAAAAACCATAAGTTTTATTCATGTTGAATACTTGATGAAACTTTTCAAACATGTACTCTCTACCGATGGCAGTAGGATTAATTATTCATGGCAATTGCTTCGTCGAACAATAGAATTAATGTTTTTCCTGAATGTGCGTCCATTTGTACTTGTCTTGATTCTACAAATTTCGTAAATAAAATAAATGATATAAAATATAATTATATTTATATTTTATTTTAAATAAAAAATTTGTTTACCCGTACTGTTGTTTTGGTGGGAGGAGTTGAAATTTTGGTGGGATGATTTGAACTTGGTTGTCTAGAAGGATTAGTGCCTCTTCGACGATTAGACGAGATATCTACATTTAATCAAAACCATCAGTAAATAAGATATAAATTATTATATGGTTATTTGTTTTTAAATCATATTGTTTTACTTTCAAAATAATATATTTGGTTATATACATATACATATTTTTATTAGAAAATATTAAAATAATATGAAACATAAAAAATGTACAATTGTATATAATTAAATGATATGTATAATTCAAAAAGATTAAATAAAATTGATTGTAATTTTTTTCAAAAATAATTTCATTAATACATGCATTCTCCTTACAAATAGTTTACTAACCATTATGAACACATTGAATTCACATATGCATGTTTCAATCATACAAATTTTCTTTATACTACACTTTAGTCTTAAACTTATATATAAAGCTAATACTTTATTTTTAACTAAATCAATTATATATACTATACTAATATAAACATATATTATATATTCAAAATTACCCATTATTATTACACTTAAAAAAACTTATGTATATAAAAGTATTTTTGAATATTTAAC